ATACACACATGCACGCTGGTCGTTGAAAGTATGTATTTTTGTATTCCCAGATCCCAATCTACTTCAAGCGCCTTCCTACTTCAAGAAACGTCACGCTTTTGCTGTGTTTTGTTATTCTCTGGGGGGGGCCTGGACCCAATCAACTTAATCCGCCTTCCTACTTCTTGTCATTACCTACTTCTTGCGACCGACTTGTAAGTATGTCGGCGCGCGGGGCGCGGTTTTTGCCGCGGGTTTGCCGTGGTGTCGGCGTCGTCCATTGGATCTCGTCGAGAGAAAGTGGCGCGGCGACACATATACAGATGCAACAAACATATACATATATATATATATACACATACACACATACATATAAACACAACAATGCGCATACATTCATATGTATCGAAGACGCTTCGGGCGAGTAACCACCAGCCTCTGCCTGTTTGGAAACACCTCTGTCGTGAAATGTGGGCAGACTGCGGCAGCGCTAGAAAGCTGCGTGATCTCCCAGCCGGTTATGTCCTCTATGACTCTCTTTTGGGCGATCTTGGAGCCATTTTGAGGCCTCAGAAGCCCATTGGAAGTGAAAGGGCGACAAGACCTTGATCACTCAACGAGCTCAGGTTTTGAATGATTTTGGCCTCTCGGGTGCATCCTTGGGAGGTTCCGTGTCCACCTGGAGCCGTCTCGGGAAGGCATTGTAGCCTCTTCAAGTCATATTAGACACCATCCTTAACGATCGCATACCACCTCAAAAACCATCTTAAACGGGTGTCTTGGAGTCGTCTTGGAGCCGTCTTGGACGCGCTGCCCCTCGCGGCGCCCCCGTCAAGACCCAGGGGAGGGCTGTGTGTAGGGGCAAACTTGCTCCCGAAGGGAGGAGACGGAGCTGGAAGAGAGGCAGTTCTCAGGGCCGGGTGGGATCTGGAAAGCCTCGAGAGGCTCGGAGGGGCTTTGAGGAGCTCGTATGGGCCCCGCCTCCCACTGGCTCCACCGGGAGCTTCGAGCTCCGGGGAGCGGGCAGGGAACAGGGCGGGCGAGGGGGGCAGCCGAGCACCTCACGCGCAGTCCCACCCACGGCGAGCAGGGGTCGGCAGCTCACCATGAGGGATTTCCGATCGGTGCTCCTCGACAAGGCCGGCGTGTCCCAGATCTCGGACGAGGAGCTCACCGCCGTCTTCGAGGCCGTCGACGGCGACGGCGACGGTGCCCTGAACTTCCGGGCCTTTGAGCTGGCCGTGACCGGGGAGGACCGGCAGAGGCGCGTCACGGACCTGCTGCTCAGGCTCGTGGGCGAAGGGGGGCGATAGTTCAAAGATGGGGTCCTGAGGGGTGAGGTCCGTTCCGAGGCGAGCCGATGCCATCCCTGGCCTGCCGCGCTTTTTGGCTTCTCCTCCCGCGCCCGATCTGAGGTGCCTCAAACAAGGCAGATCCACCCTTGGATCCCTTTCAATCCTTAGGACCCCATCCCTCATGACCCCATCTTAGAACCACCGAGAAGAGACAGCCGCAACCGCTGGGCTGAGGGAGCCACCCCTGGCCCCCCCCCCCCAAGGCGGGCCCCGACCCGCCTCAGAAGGAGGACAAGGTACCGATATTGCTACTCTTCCCTCGCTTTCGCCGTTATGGGCCTCCACAGCTGCTTTCGCCTCGAGATCCTGTTTGGAACGTACTCTACGAGAGGTCTGGGGAGTAGCCGTATGGGTACCTGTCGGTGTCCCCACCAGCCGTGATGTTCTGGGCGCGGCACTCGAAGTCGGGCGCCGCGCGCAGAGCATCATCGCTGGTGGGTCGGCGTCGGCCTCGGGGCAGGCGCCACGGGCGGTTCCCTCGGCCCAGCGGTGGTGGGTGCCTCTTCTTCGCACCTGACATCGATTAAAAACTGGTACGGCCGAAATCGGTACGGAAAGAATGGGCGCGAAGACCGACTGCACTGCCTGTTCATTTTGAGCCAGAGTCGCTGTTGGTGTCGCCGCGGACGTCCATTTGAGATTGAAGGCCGCCTGCCCAACAGCGGCCGCCGTCGGTTTTTGAACTGCCTCTGCTGCTGGGCACCGTGCCATGTTTCCCGTGCCCAGCTCGGTCGTCCAGACGACAGGCTCCACAAGTCGATCAACCGCGAGGGCGTCCTCTTCGAGGAGCTGGTGCGGCGCTTCGACGTGGACGGCGACGGGTCCCTGCAGCGCCCCGAGCTGGAGGAGCTGCTGCGCCACGTGCAGTTCCGGACGAGCGACGCCGAGCTCCGCTTGCTGATGGGTACGATCGATGCCGACTCCTCCGGCACGATCTCCGTGGCGGAGCTGCACGGGCGGATGGAGCTGGCCTTCGGCATCGTCTGAACCGATCCCCAATCCTGACCTCCTGGCGTCGCGATCGTTTCTTCTCGGGCGATCTTGTCCAGTATCGTGCCCAAGGACCCTCACGGATCGATCCAGCTTGACAGGTGCAGCAGCAAGATTGGGTGTCGAGTTTTTCTTCGATGTCGCATTTTGTTCGTGACGTCGGATCTCAGGGAAGGCCCCCTGGGGCCGTGGTCTGAACCCTTGGAGACCACGCCCCGAGATGGTGGGATAAGCTGGCCACTGGGGCCAAGGCCACGCCAGTGGGGATGGGGATCGGTCCAACGATGCTCAGGCTCGCTGTGACGACATCGTCGACAAGTTCCGTGAGAGCGTGTCCCGCGCGGGCGTCCGGCTTCCGGACATGTTCCTGATCGCCGACACGGACGGCAGCAACACGCTGGACTTTGCGGAGTTCGAGTCTCTCCTGGCGCGCAACGGGATCTGGGGAAACCAACAGGTACAATACCGACACCGCTACTCCCCGGAGGTGCGTTCTGATCAGAACTCCGAGGCAGATCCAGCGGTGGCGACCAGGGCCTCCCAGGAGGCCCAAGAGGCTGAAAACGAGGCAAGGGCAGCGGCACTGGTACCCTTCCCCCTCCGAGGATCAGCCTCGGCCAGGCTCAACTGCGGGAGCTCTTCGGCATCTTCGACGCGGCCCACACCGGCGAGGTCTCGTACCAGGAGCTCCTGCGGCGCTGCGGCCTCTGCCCAGGCCTGCGCCCCGGCGCCGGGCCTGACAGGGAGACCCTGCCGCGCGGGGAGGACGGGCAGGGCTGGCTCGACGAGTGCATGCGGGTCCTGAAGCGGGCCATCATCGGCGCCAAACGCGACGCAGAGGACTCAGGAGGGACAACTGGACACAAGCATGAAGACACGCTGGCCTTTGTGAGAATGCGGGAGCACATGAGAACTGGAAGGGGGGAGCTCAAACAAAGGCATTTAACATGTGGAGTCCTGGAATGTGTGTGTGTGTGTTGTGTGTGCGTGTGTGCCTATGTGTCGTTGCAGTTGACTCTGAGTTCAGTTATCGCCTCGTTTTCTGGCCGCTGCACGTTTCGCTTGGACTTCCAGCTCCTCTTTCGCACCGGTTGCTTGCCTGCTGCCGTGATGCTGCTTTTGCGCGCCGCGCTGCCGACCGCACACCTGTCGCAATTCGCCCCTCCGTCTGCTGTTCGCGCTTGAGGACCCGCTGCGCCGCCGGCTCAACACGTGTGCCTGTGCTCAAAGCATGAATTACCTACCCCGCTTTCGCTTCCAGGCAAAATCAAGTCATACCATGCGCCTCCTCGTCAAGCGGCCTGACCAGTACAGGCTGCAATTTGGCATCGCTTGGTATCTCTTGGAAGCGAGGGTGGTCAAAAGCGAGGTAGGTTTGTTTGCCCCCTATGTGCGTGTGTGCTTACGTGCGCGCGTCCCCCTGCGCCCCGCCGAGGACGTGCGGACGGCGGCGGCCCGCCTCCTGCAGGAGCAGGACGACCGCCGGTCCGGGAGCCTCAGCGCCGCGCAGCTGCGCCGCTTCTGCGGCGCCGTGGGCGTCGACGTGGACGCGCGGGAGACCGAGAGGCAGCCGGGGGAGGAGGAGGAGGAGGGGGAGAGGGAGGAGGAGGAGGAGGAGAGGGAGGAGGAGGACGAGGAGGAGGAAGGGGCAGGAGGAAGAGGAGGAGGGGGAGGAGAGAAGGAGTGAGGAGGAGAAGTGCGCAGGAGAGCAGGAGGAGGAGGTGGAGAGGAAGAAGGGAAGCAGGGAGGAGGAGGAGGAGGAGGAGGTGGAGGAGGAGGAGGAGGAGGAGGAGGAGCAGGCTGCCGTTCGCCCGTTGTCCCTTGTGTTGGCCCCGCCTGGGAGGCCCTCCTCGGCAGGACCGGGTTCGCCTCGAAAAATCTTGTTCCGCAGGCATCCCCAGGCGAGGCCCGGGGGGGCCGCGAGAGGCAGGCCACTTCGATCCGTGCGGTCTTGTTCGAAGTCGGCTTCGGCCAGCCCGATCCGGCTCGAGCCCGATAGTTATTCCGACGATCCCAATGCGGCCCGTTGCCTGCAGGGCGATGTTGCGCAGCCCGCCCGATTCGATTCCGACTCCGTGTCGATGTAGCCCGACTCGACGCACATTCGGTTCGGTTCAACTTCCCGATCCGATGCGGACCGATCATGCGCCATCGAGATTTCTTCATGCTGTAGACCCCCAAGGGTCTGGACCCATTCCCAAGGACCAGTCTTTCATCCCGAGTCCTTTTTTGACGGCCCGGAGGCCCAGTAAGGGCCGCGCGA